GCTGTCTTGTCAGATTTTGGTCGGGGAATATACAGTGGCAGATAGGCGTACACTAAGGACACACTCGTTCGTCCATAGAGGCCTTTTGAGCTCACACTCGAGCCTTCGCCGCACGTACGGAATCCAAACAGGATTTCCTAAGCAATCAATCTAACATCCACCAGATGACCATCAGGCGCGCTTGATTAGTAGGGGCGATTGGCAGATTTGACTAATTCATTTCATCCAATTGTAAAAAGCTCGGCGGCCTCCCACGGAATTGGTGGATTCCATACGTTGCAGTAGGCTGGGCGGGTAAATTGACCCAAGTAGGATTAAATTCACGGCTCCCGGTGGGGCCTCGATTGCTCAGTTGGCCAAAGCGTTAGCTTCACTAAAGCCCTCCACTTGCTGGCGTGGGTTCGAATCCCACCGAGGCCACTGGGATTTTTTACAAATCGTCTAAGTGAATTATCCAAAATCATTTTGACCAAAATACTTCTTCAGAACTTCAGTTAACATTTTATGAGATAGGACATTTAATGAGACAGGGAGCTGAACTTGAAACAACATGCATTAGGGCCTGTGTGCAATTGATAGTACCTGGATCTAACGCGGCTTCCGATGTTGCTCAAGTATGCGCGACCGATGTGGCAGCATGAGGTCACACAGTAACCATGAAATGGACGGACATTAGAAGTTTACTTCAAGGATACGCAATATCACATACTTTGCTTTATTTACTTGACTTATTTGTCCCACTTAATCATTTTCCAAAAGATGACTTCGTAAGCATAGGCTTGCTTTTGATATATTCTTATCAGACCTTTTCATGCATACCTTTATGCGTCTAAGTGGAATATAGGAATAAGTGGAAAAATTCGTACAGTTATCAGGGTGGGAGGAAAAAAAGCTGTAGTCAGTAATCTTGTTGCAAGTTGTGATGTCGAACAAACAGAAGGCTTCCCCAAATCACAAGTCAAGCAAGACGGTGTTGGTGGACAGAAGTTTACTGCCGGAAAATAGACAGTACAAAGGCTGAGTTATGCGCCAGAACCAACTCCGTGTGCACGCCGAGTCCGTACGCGAAATTGTGTTGGCTGCTGTCTAGCCTTGCCTGCGGAACGTTCTTAGTGGACCTGACAGGCAGCCAGGTGGACAGGCGCACGTCAATTGGCTGGCACTCACGTGCGCCTTGAACTGCGAGCAGAAGGGGGAAGTATAGGGCCACTAGGAGATCGCGGCCTCTTGCAGCGGTTGACAGCGGGGAAGTTTATCACGTGCGAGTATAGATGGCGAGCGTGACAAATGAAGGCAGCGTGAATCAGCACGGCGGCAGGCTCCCACAATCCGATCAGCGTCAGGGTGGTATTGGTCACCGGGAAAGGTAATCGGTTGCGAGCGGCTGAATCGGCGGCTTTAAGCCATGGTAACTGCGGTGTGGTACCTTTAGCAATTTCTTATGGGCGCACACAAGCAGTTTGCGTAACTTGATTACAGTTGCTTTAGCCGTAGCCAACAGACGCTGTCCAAGGAATCTTGAATAGTTTCAGCGAACATATAACTATTTCAGAAAGCTTCTTCGGTATCTGCACGATAATCTCAGTCTACTATTTATATTCTTTATTTGGCCATTTCGTAATGATGCTGGAAAATGTTCTTATATTCTTTCGGAAATGCGAGGGCTCTTAAGACTAATATACTCTTCCCACAGGCAGCAGGTAAATAAAAAATGCACACGGAGATGGTTAAGGCTGGCAGTTTGTCCATGCTCTATCCGTAAATTGGCGTCAGCTGCTAGGAGGGTTCTTGCTACAGCTCCAATTGAACACCTCGAAACGTTCTCTTCGTGCGTCCCCTTAACTGGGACTCTGATGAAAAGTCTTGTCTTCTCCGTCGTTAGCACCGGGGCTTAACGGATCTCTGAATCCTATTCTTGGCAAAAAACCGATTTTGATACCCATTCCCTCGAAAAACGCTTTCTACAATTTTAAGTTCTCCTTCACCACTATCGTTTTCGCCATCCCCCAAATAAAAGGAAGAAGAAGGTACAAGGACAATCGAGCAGTAGCAGAAACGTAGCAGACTCATTTCTGACACTCTTTATGCTCATGTCTCTGATGAGGAATCCGCGACCGATTTCGAAACGTCAGGCGAATAAAAGTCTTCTCCCAGCACGCTTCTTCTCAGTGTTTGTGTTAAGCAGGCAAATTCATAGCCAACGTCACTAGAGGAGTGTGAACCTACTAATGATAAAACCTGTGCGCTATTATCGGAAGGAAGAAACCGAGAGTGGATGTAAGTCAGTACGACGTTTGTCAGTCCTGAATGATATTTTATAGGTTTATCGAGGAGCGTTAAGGCTATTCAGGTTTAACTCTAACAACTGCGATCTTCCGGGCCATGTTCCTTAGGAGAGGGAAGTCTTGGGAAGGCCAGAGTAGTAGGAACAATGTATTGTGTACGCAAGATTAAGTAGGAAGTTGCCACTCGGTCTCGCATGGCGTTCAACTGTGAGGGTCACGTGAAAGCGTGGTGTCGTAAAGGGGGGGGACACACGGGCGATGAAAAGGAGTCGACACATCACAAATGATGGTGTTAGTCCCGGTGGTGAGGGGAACGTCCGCAAGGTGGAGACCAGTGACAGCTTCGTCGCCAGGACAGCCAACTCATTTTTGCTCCGCCGCCATAGCACC